TACAGTGCATTTGTTCTGTATGTGTGTTTCATCATGACGATAGACTCTGGTTTGTTGGTGACAGCAGAGACTGCTCCTTAGATTCACTTCCTCTTTTTTGACTGAAAAAAATGTTTAAGACTTCATTTCAAATCTATTGAGATCGAAATAAAACAAAATGTACGACTGACAGATAACACATTGTCCATAATGTCTCGTTGTATTATAACTCTAGTCTTTCACAGCTAGGTTGTTCGATTCAACCCTATAGTGAACAGAGAGCAACAAGCTCCTAGACAACACTCCTAATACAGGCCACAATGTTACTGACAACTTGTTGAACTGTTTAGAGCAGAAAACATTACAAAACAAACATTGTTAGCGACGAAGACACAGACAGGAACATGACAGCAAAAGCACCACAGCCACACTGAGTGTCTAGTATTAAGCTCTGCCACAGCAAACACCAGTAGAGGCTAAAGCAGTATTAAGCAACACAGGGCGGTAGCCTTGACACTACGGAGCTGTAACAAACACCAAAATATTTCACTCAAGTTTGTTAAAGCGGCTCTAAATCTGACTAACACTGCAAAATAATTAGCTGTGAGCTAACAGGCTAGCTAGCTACGCCCTTACGCAGTCCACACAGAGATTAAGCAGAAACTTTTCCCAGTCACAGCGGGACTCAACTTCTCCAACACAGCGGCAAGAATTGACACAAGTCAGCTGTTTCTGCCTGCGCAGTTTCGCTAACACTTCTGAACAATCTAAGAGCAGCGGTCGATAGAACCGAGGAGACGTTTGCATTGGTAAAATTGAAGTTGTAAGACAGTGTTACCTGAGTAAGAGACAGAGTGGCAGCCATAGTGTTTCTGTTTCCCACTGCTTTCACGCTGCACTGCTGCCAGAAACAGACAGAGGCCGCTGCAAAACACGGCACTGGATTTTCGCCGAGGACGGTGACCAACGAGGAGGTGAACACTGTGTGGGTAGCGCTCTCTAGTAGGTCGAGTGGGTAGTGAAGGTTGACCTCAGAGATACACAACGTCCTTTGTCTACAACGATTATGAATATATTTGCTGTACTGACACGCCTTTCTACGTTCACCTCGGAAAAGCTAGGTTTATTTAACAGGTGTACTGTATACAACCCATTGAAGACCACCTGTATTCAATATTTTTTATATTGTCGAATATTTTAAATTGAGCAACATTGTTAAATTTAATCTTTTATACATTTTCGACATTTAAAACTTAAAAGGGCAGACTATGGTGGAAAGTAAAAAAAAAACTTTAACACGCTAGAGAATCAAGTTATTCTGACGTTGATTTACGGTTGCCATGGCAGCCAGAGCCAACAAACGTTGCCGAGGTCCGCGGTTTGGACAAACATGGTGAGTGCGACGAGAAAAACGCTGAAATGACAGTAGTGTCAACTGTTTTTAATTTGTCTTATTTTAGGTGAAAAAGAAAATACTTTTCTGTGGTTCTCATATTTTGTTTGCAGCCTCCCAAGCGCAAAGACTCGAGTAAAAAGACAGCTAAGGTCAAGACTCCCACTCTGATAGACGGACTGACCAAAGATGAGCTGTCCAAAGATCAGGTCTGACCCGTTTGTGAGTGTGGGTGTTGTATTAATTGTTCAGAACTATTTCTGCATTCTTTCTGCATTCTCTAATGGGAACCATAACCTGCTCCTGAGGTCTAAATCTTGACCGTTGTTAATTTTAGGATTTCCTCCAAATAGTTATGAATACAAATGTTTTTTGAAGAGACAGCTATTAACAATTCTACGGAAGGTAACAATTTCCTGAACTTGCATGTTAAAACTAAATAAATTGTTATGGTTTACCTGAAAGAAAGGATATGTTTTTGGTATAGAATCCTGTAAGGCTGTGAATATTTGTTGGTTCATTTTGACTCTAGCTAAGACTAAAATTAATTTCCATTTATTTCAGCTTAAGGAACACATCACACGTCTCAGAGAGGAGCTGGATAGAGAGAGAGAAGAACGGAACTACTTTCAGCTGGAGAGGGACAGGATACACACCTTTTGGGACTGCACTGAAAGAGAGCTACAGGAAGCCAGAGCTGAGCTGAAAAACATGGAAAAGGCAATAGAAGAGGATGAGTGGCGCCATCAAGTGGAGATCAAGGTAAGGATACTAAAAGTGTAGATCTGTGTCTAGATGCTGCATCAATCCTGTTGTGACCTAATCAATTAACTGCTAATTATGAACAGTCATGGCAGAGGCCATAGACTTTGGTACTTTTCTGTATCTATGGAAACCCAAGACCGTGGTCTTAGTAGCAGGTCACATTATTGCCAAAAGAGCATTTTAAAAAGCTTTTCTATAAAGCATTAAAAGTTAAATGGCTTTTTAAACCAACATTCCAATTTTCAGTCTATTTTGTTCATTACAACAACAACAGGTGACAGATATGGACTTTAACAGGACTATAACCAGTTCAATTCTCTCTCACAATCTGTGTGCGGTGTTGTGTATTGGAAACCCAGTATGTTGTTTTACCACCTACAGTGACTTGGAAAAGGTCAACAAAAAAACAAAACTGACTTCTCTGCCGTAGGTGTACAAACAGAAGATGAAGCATCTTTTGTGTGAACACCAGAACAACATCACTGAGTTCAGAGCATTCGACTCACTCTCCACCGAAGAGCGACAGAGAGAGCAGGAAAAACTGGAACGTGATCTTCATAAGGAAATGAAGTCCACCATAACAGACATGCTGGTCAGCAACGAACACCATGTGAAGGAGCTACAGATGGTCTGTACTTCACATTGGTCTGTTTATCTGTTAATCTTGTTGAAGAAAGAAAATAATTCACACAGTGAATTTTTTAACAGAAACACGAGGTGGAAATCTCAGAAACAAGAAACAGATTTGAGAAGCAGCTCAAAGGTAGCTCACTTTTAAATAAACTTAATTCCATTTCTCTCTTCTCTGAAACATAAAGGCAGCCTTTTTTTGTCATCAGACATTCAATCCACTAATGAGGAAAGGTTGGAGTTGCTGTGTAAAGAGCTGGAGGAAAAGAGGAAAAATGAACTCAGTGAGAGAGAAGATCACTGGAACAGACACATCGCTGGTCTGATAGATGAACACAACAGTGCCCTCAAAGCTGTCAACGACTGTGTCAGTGACATTCCACAGGTTCTGGAGAACAGCGATTCACTCAAGGTAAAAACAAACCCATAACTGGTTCATTTGAATCATAGTGGTTATTTATAGAAAGTGTTGATTCTTTTTAGGACAATGTCAGTTATTGTTGATCAAGTTTGTTTAATTCTGTCATTTTTTTAGACACAAATTAAAGACATGAAGATTCAGCTGAAGAAGAAAAAGGACCTCAACCCACTTTTGCAAGACAACAAATACCTTACTGAGTGTCTATCCAAAATAATGATGGAAATTTCTGAAAAAGAGAAAAAAATTGAGAGATTAAAAAAGGTGTTTTTATTCTGCTTCTGCTTCAAACTATTTAAAGTTAGTGTGGCCTGGGTTTGATCTATAGTTGTCACTGGTGTTTTATTTGGTCATTTGCTTGTGATGTTTTACCGTAAAGGCTCAAAGTGACTGTTTGTTTTAATGACTACCATATGCAGATTCAGTCTGATGTTAGTCAAAAGCTCAAGGAGGCACAGCTGAGTGATATGAGAAAGGATCATGATGAACTGAAACAGAAATTCTGTGAGGTAAAACTTCAGATGTTGATTTACTGCATATACATTCGGTTTAATTTAAGACTAAGAATCTCTGCATGGATGAAAG